GACTTACCAAGGTTGCATTCTCTTCGAGGAGATTGGAGACACTTTGTCCTGCAACGCCAAAATGGACGAAAACACAAAGAACTCTTCAACTGAGGCAAGTGCCTTTGTAGAACACTTCGAAAAAGAGAGGCAATCCCTCGAAACCCTATTCTTAGGTTTTATTGCCATCCATAGATCAAACTCTTTATAGAACAAGCAACTCTGAGTCGGACATGTTAGATAAAGTTACTAGACTGAGGTAGAATGTGGCACTTTGATAAGCGACGCAAATAGACCAGCTTTAAAACCCTTGTATCGAAGTCCCCTTGAAATGAATAATGAATCAACGAATTACTGAAAACAAAACTACTTGAAAACAAAGATTGTTTGTTACCAATGTGATTATTGTTACTTGGAAATGTCACGGGAATAAAATGAACTATCATGTTCGCTTTGGAATCAACCCCGGGGAATTGTTCAACCTGTATCTAGGCAGCATTGGTGTACAAAAGCTGATAGTTTAGGAGTTGTTATGAACAAAAACATTTGCCGAGGTATGCATAGGTAACCAATTTTCTACGTTCTGATGATGTAGTTTCGCCTGGTGATGAAAGGTTCGCAACCAAGCTGATGATCTTTATGATGACATCTTTCATCCTTGTGAGTGGTAGGACGAATTTCCGCTCTTTTAGGTTTTTGTTCAATGATCTGGTTTAGGAGTTGTTATGAACAAAAACATTTGTTAAGGTAAGCATAGGTAACCAATTTTCCACGTTCTGATGTAGTTCGCCTGGTGCTGAACGGTTTGCAACCAGACTGATGATCTCCACGATAGCATCTATCATCCAGACTTCTTCAACCGGTTCCAGGGTACCTACGCAGAAACTCAGCACCATCGACTTCTGGGACCACAAAGAAGACCTAACTGAAACATGGATCTGCGAGACATGCAGAGTTGGAAGATGTCAGAAGGCTTATTGTAGACTGTAATCCACTAGGATTTAAGGCTGAACGAATGGAAAGATCAAATGGCCAACTTGAGTCGGGAGCTAAGATACCCCTTTGGCTCAATAACAATCCGCTGACCAGGCCACTTCTGAAGGACTATAGGCTCCTCAGTATCCAAGGCAGTTCGACCATCCACACACCCATTGCAGCCTACCAGCTCCCGGCGCAGTTTTTGGCCGGCCCAAATTACTGAAATACCGCTATACCCAACACCGCTGTGCCATCGGACAGCAAAACTCCGGGTACTTACACAATGCACCATCAATTCCACAAATCTAAGTTCAACAGAAGGCTAAGAGAACTGAAATGCAGTTTGTTTGACCATGACTTCCAGCAAGAAACCCAAGTCCCTCACCAGACTGACGAGGAAGCCTAAAGCACCGATCTTTCCAGCTTCACTCTCAACTAAAGAGGACGTAAAAGCCATAGTTGAGATAAGGAGATGAAGGAGAATTGATCGTGTCTTTTAGTGCCGGGCTTGTGTTCATGTATTCTGGTGGAGAGCTTTCATCCTGTTCATCCTATATACCTTTTGTCACAGTCCTTGCATTAGATCCTGTTCTTCGTCATTGGATCTAATTTCCCTTTTGGTCTTGAAAATGTCCTCACAGGCTTGTAAGCGACCGTTGTATTGTGCTGTCGTAAGAGCCTAGCCATCATTTCAGCGGTGTTCTTGATCTATAGGAGTGTAACTCGTTCGCTTGCATTTTGTGCTCTTGCATCAATCGTACATGGGTTCCTGAATGGTCTCGAGATGAAGTTCCTCGGGTATCCATTTTTCTGAAACAATTTGTATAGGCATTTTTCTTCTTTGATCTTGGATTCTGTTGCGCTGCAGTGTGTCTCGATCCGCTTGGAAAGTGTCCGAATGCAGCTTCGTTTGTGGCAATTTGGATGGTTGCTGTGGTAGCTGAGGATTCGGTCCGTATGTGTCACCTTTCTGTAGACCTCAAATTTTAGCTGTCCGTTAGGCAATCTAGTGATGAGGACGTCCAGAAACGCCAGTTTTTCGTTGTTTTCTTCTTCGGTTGTGAATTCGATGCCGTCGAAAACGTTATTTAGTAGTTGGCTTACTCGTTGCAGTTCGCTTCTTTTGATGATCACAACTGTGTGGTCTACGTAACGGATACATATTTTGGGGTTTCTATCAGGCAACACAAGTTGTTCCAATTTTTGGATTGCGGTTTCTGCAATGAATCCTGATATTGGCGATCCTATTGGTGTCCCTCGTTTGTGGTTATTCATAATATTCTCCGTTGAACTCGAAATGTGTGATCAGGCATAAGTCGAGTGATCTGCAGAGATCTTTCTTCTCCAGTGATCCAGTTGTTGTCCGATAGTTCGGCCACAGTTGTCTTGGCCGAATCGAGGTCTACAGATGTGAATAGTGAGCTCACATCAAATGAGACCTGATCGATGCCTACGCTTTTTGTTTCTCCAAAAAATTGTCCC